AGTCCCCATTTTCGGACTGCGTCCGAGCAGGGACTAATTAGTGGTCATTCATTCTTAATCACAAGTTTGTATTAAACCCTACCTGCCTACTCAATGTTTTTGTCCTTGTTCAAAGCCTTTTACTCTGACATTGCTTTTAAGCCAAAGCGATATAAGCAAAACCCATGCATCATCATGATGGTAAACTGACCTTTGCCTATTTGTCGGAATCCAATTGGTTGATACCGTCGTCTATCTTCAATCTGTTTCTTGGCTAGAATATCCAACGGTAGGAGTTCACCATGCCGGGCCAATGCCTCTAACCATCCACCAGAGAACTCTTTATCTTGACCTTCACCAGCACAGGTTTTACAGCATCCACACTTAGTACAGCCAGCATCACCAGTACCACAACCACATAAACTGAAAAAAAACAAAAAAACAGGTTAGGTTAAAATCTGCAGTATTGACTACGACATCTCTATACTTCCTACATATCCTGGTAAAATAACTTCACATTACTGAAAACACTAAAACCAAGTATGAAACCGTGGAGACACCAAGCCAAACATCTCCCTGGTTCAAGATTGACTGCACATAAATATATTTCTACATGCATAATATATTGCATAGTCCTTTGGAATACTTACGCTCCTGTTACTCTATCTGGTCCCCCAGTACTTATACAACTAGGACCATATCCAGTACATTCACCACATATTGTACACACCATACATTGTTCATGTTTCCATTTATGGGATCCTGATGGACACATTCCATGACTCTCTTCTCCATCTATTTCATCCTCCTCATTGTCTTCATCATTCACTGATATCGACATAGCAGCAGCTTGGGCCAAACCTGTGACAGAAAGAAAACATTTGGAAATGGAAAGAAACAAACACTGGTAATACCTATACAATGGTATAGTACAATGTACAGTAAAACTCAACCGAACGTTCTAAACTGGTAACCTGGCTAAAACCGGATAATTTGTTGATTTGTTTAAACATAAAATTAAATACAATTTGCAGTTCAATATGGTGTTCAGTTTAGTCAAGTGTTCCTCTAAGAAATTGATGAACTGAACAATTTAATAATTTCGTGTTTAGCGCCATATTAGAAGAGAAGCATCTATGTCCAAATCCTTCTTTAAATCCAATAGGGCACTGTGGGAAATTCACTACCGCTGTTATAAGTCACCACCATCAGAATTCGGTTTGGTATTTTTCTTGGAATGAATTCAATTACGAATAGAGGTTTATCATGCGATAATGTAAAACTGTGATGTCATAAAAAAACAATAATTGATAGTGGTGATTTATAAAATACTACTGTACAACAATTCATACGAGATATGATAAAATGCAGCATATCAATGAATCCAATCTATTAAATTGAAGCTCTAAGCATTTCTCAGACTTAGTAATTATTCTAATGGCAGGCCTAGCCATCTAGATACTTCACATGCAATTCCTACTAAACCGTACTTTTCAGGTACAAAAGCAATTTCTAATTACTTTTTCGATTCATTTTCATCACCAAACATATCCACTAGACACACAAAATACAAAAATAATAACTATATTTTGAAATATGATTATGATGGAAATATTAATCCACGAGCTGTACAATATCTTGGCAGCATATTGTAAACCTCCAGATGGAATATGCAGCAAATACCAATATACCAGTAAGATGTGAACAACGTAATACAAACGCAAAGTGATAAAAACTCAATGTGATATTGTAAAGTGATTGAAAGATGCAACATGTTACTATTCCCATTCAATTCAGTGTTAATATCAACCATGCAAGACTTAATTTGTGAAAGTTCACTAATATATAACTAACATTTGTAATTGAAGTCTGGGGATGCCTTAGATAATTCCTAAAAGTCATGCTTACAAGGTACCGGTAGTGTTAGTGGATGAAGACATTGTTATTCAAAGTGGTTTGATTGTTATTTAGAATACGGTCAAATTCTCAAAAACATTTTTAATTGACAGATATCTACATATTAAAACATTAGCGACACTGTGACTGTCACTCCTTTCATTAATTTTTGTAACACATGTCAAGTACTTAAAGGGCATGACTTGTAGGAAAAATGTACACGTGTTACAATATATAAACTGACAACATGCCAATATTTTCATCCTTTCAGCTAGTTACTACAAACAAACTCTAAAGTATGCAGACCTACATGTAGGTAGTGTACCTCACATGAATGATTCACATACCATCGATATGCTGTCAAATTACAATTAGTAGGGCTGGTTTACAGTAATGCAGATTATAAATACTGGTAAGTTCATTAAATATAAATGCCACATGTCACAGCATGTTGGTTCAATAGTGAACAAAACTGAAATTTTAAATCAGTGCTTGAAAGAAATGTGTGTTTATATGTATGACATACTGTATGATGTATCGGTAGATGTAAAGTTTGAATCCAATCAGTCAAGGCATGTCAGAGATGCTGTGCTGAAGAGCATTAGTTAGTCAATCATTCTGTCTTTTTGAATTTGATCTGAAATACATTACGATTCAATGTAGATTTTTAACAATAAATATCCATGTATGACCAAGACCTGGGTCTGGAATGACAGCAATGCTTTTGATGCATTTTAAACATTAAAATGACCACCATTCGGCCATCTGGAATAAAATCATCAAATAAACACATGAACATATGATGTATATCTAAAGTTTGAACATGATTGGTCTAGGCATATCAGAGATATGACGTGATTGGCCAAGTCATATCAGAGATATGACGTAATTGGTCAAGGCATATCCGAGATATGACGTGATTGGTCAAGGCATATCCGAGATATGAAGTGATTGGTTAAAGCATGTCGGAGATATGACGCGATTAGTCGAGGCATATCAGAGATATGACTCTGAAACAAAATGGCCACCAGACAGTCATTTGAAATCCAATCTGAAAAACAAAATGACATGTATCAAAGTGCAACATTGTTCAACTAGGTACCATGTTTGAATAAATCCGTTCATACATGACCGAGATTTGGTTCTAGAATGGCAGAAATTCACCCATCTTTAATCAGATTACGAAACGAATGGACAAGCATATGTATCCAAAAATATATGACGTTGGTTTGAATGTGATTGGTCATGGCATGTCTGCAAGGAAGTCTATCTATAAGTCAAAGTTTTTAGGCTTCGAACAGGGACAAAAAACAGTTTGCTGGTGACCTTCACAGCACAACTGTAAATTTATAAAATACAACATAAACACAAGTAATTCTAACTTTACATACATATCAATTTCTAAAATTGTTTTGATTGTACATGCTTTCTAACATTTAGTAACTGATTAGACAAAACATACGTAATACCATAAAAACTAGAGTAGTTAGAGGAAAACTATTAAAACATGCTTGACAGTGATGTTAGGAGACATGTATGCATCAATATAAGGTGCTTACCACTGACTTTAGATTTATGCAATGGTATTATACCTGCATTGAAGCAAATATTGCCAACTAGTGGGAGATAAACAAAACAAATTAGGAACAATCAACAGGTTATAACCTGTGGTCTTCGTCTTGTCTTGTAATCACACCATGTAACTACACACAGTTACATAGGGTCAGTAATAAAATAAAATAAGTGTGTAAAAAATGTCTCACAATATTAATAGTGATGTGGGCTGATATTATATAGTATATAGTATTTGTAGTTGATATTTTAATTTTATCAGCATAGAATGAGTTCCAGTAAGACAGGACTGGTCTTTTGAAATTGGCTGAAGAGTGAAAAATAGCTTTTCAAAAAACACTGATTTCAATGTGTTGTAAAAATATGATTCTGCAAATGTAAAATTTAAAAAAAAAAAATTGTTAGCTCCTCTTTGCGATATTTTACATGAGCAATCACTCGCCTTAAAAGAAAAGGTTTGGTAAAATAGGTGATCACAAAGCTGTAAAAATACTCTCAGGTCTGTTGCATTGATTGCTTGTATCACATTTTTTTATCTTTCTATCAACTGCTAAGATTTGGGTTGATTACATTCTAAAACACATAATAGGGTTTTGAAGTTAAGCATTTTAAATGAATTGAAATACATGTAATCAAACTGTTTAAATATAAATCAGTCTGTTGAATTAATTATTGTGGTGTTGTATCTCTCTATACATGTGTATAACAAAAATATAAATCATTTATAAAATATTATGTCTTTAAAAGAATGATAATGATCAAAATATTAATTATCATATTATAATGAATATAAATGTTTTCAAAAACTTATTTAAGGTTAATTTGAACAAAAGAAATTTAAACAAAAATTACACATGACCAGGTGCTAACACTGGAAGCTACCAAATCCTCATGAATGAATAAAAAGTGGTCAAAAGTGACATGAATATAGATGTCCTATAATCAAATACAGAAAGTATTACATTAAATAATCTCAATGAAAAAGACTAACATTCTCTAACAGTGTGCACTAAAGGTTTGTACTGACCTTCTTTTACAGATGGTCCTCCATAATCTCTACCACATTGTCCTTTATTGTTTATACCAAATGTATAGACGTCTCCGTTACTGGCAAGAACACATGCATGTGCTTTCCCTAGTGATACTGAGGATACCTGAACATCTTTTAAATCAGTCACTAAACCTACAATAATTAATAGATTCATTTAATACTGTGAAACATTGCAACACAAATACCACATTTGATCTATTAGTAGTGTTGTCACATTTTAATGATATAATGATATGCAATTTTTGAAATAAGAGCGATTTAATTAGAAATGTTTTCCGAATAGAGGTATTTAGTATTTGAAACAAGATAATTTACTATACTAGCATCAGTTTTATAATACCTTAGGAACCCTTCAGCTGAATATATTCAACTGATCATGAAGTACAGATTTTATGAAATGCGAGTTAGATAGTTGAGTTTATTTTTTATAGTGTCAGTGGTACTGCGCATTCGTCAAGTGTGACTGAGATGTTATGATTTGTAATAGTTTGTTTCTTACCTGTGGAATGATCTGCGTATGTGTTATCTTTACCAAATATATACATTTCACCCTGTTTTGTAACCAAAGCACTGCTTCCATTATTACATGCACTATGTACAGCACATTTACCGTCCATTTTGGAGATCTTCTTGGGTTTGGATACTTTGTGCAGTCTTCGACTTTTCACTAAAGATAAACAAATGTACCATATTGTTGAGTATTTGTACAGCAGAATAGCAGTGCTAGTCCAAGACAGGATTTGAGTGGCAATGTGGATGTCTACATTATGCAGTGTTCAACCATTATAATCCATAAGGACTATTACTCGAAAAAATGCTAAATACACAATGGGATCCTCAGGAAAATCTGGTGCACAGCTCAATCGAAATTATTAAATCCTATATTCTAACCATGCAAGTTCCAAACAGGAACCTCAAAAGGAAGAAATCGCTAGATTTAAGTATTATCAAATCGAGATCAAGCAGTTAGATTTTAAATTAATATAGATCTAATTTCAAACACATAACAAATAAGTTTGTAAATATCTGACAACAGCTTACCTTGGTCACCATCTTCTCCTCTTTTAGATGTACCAACAAAGAATGCAGTACCATCATCAGTAATAAGTATGGAATGTTGGCCTTCATGTCCTACAGAACACTGTGTAATCTTAGGTGACTTTGTAATGGGTAACTCACTCCATTTGTTACTCATACCACCTCCTTGTTTCAATCCCAGACTCACAGGTTTACCAATATACAGCATCTAGAAAAATGTTGCATTGCAATACAATATAATAGAATGTCATAATGAACGCTCTACAATTGAACATTAGATAAAATACTGTAAAATGACTAGTTTTCACTGGGTTTAAATTCCACTGATTTATCATTTCAGGCATAGTCAGTAGGTTTTAAATTCATGGTTTTATCATTTAGACAGGTAGTTCTATGCTCAATTTTACATATTCACTGGGTTTTAATTTAGCACATTTTCCAGTCAGCGAAATAAGCAAAATTAAAACCAGGTGAAAAATTAACCCTTTTACAGTAGTTGATTCCATGTAAGTGTGCAAAAGATAATATCATAAGAATAATTACCAGTACCATTACTCAAATTTGGCCTGAGAAAAAATTTAGGAACAATGATCTATTACTGAATTTGTTATACAAAAGCTATTATGTGAATGACATATGTAAGTATAGTCAAAGTTAGATGTACCAGTATTTCAATGATCTACCATCCAATTTATGCAATCTTTGCTTTATGTGCACTTCTATTGAAGATCACTTCTAAGAGAGAAAGTGTGTAGCACTTTCACCGGTCAGACAGGATGAATGAAATTCAATGAAAATTTACCAGAACATTACTGAAGTAGTTATGTGCTTAAATATAGATTGTAATATAATCTTAGACAAAATTTAGTTTGTCATACCTTGCCAGTAGCAGTTCTGATCAGTGAGAAATCTTTGCCTCCATTCACTGTTAATGGATCTTCATCCATTCCAAGACCTATATATAGAAATAAGTAAATTGCTTTAAATTTTAATATACTTGTATCAATGTAAGCTGGTGTCAAATCCATTAGTGATAAGGTCAACACCTTTGGCCTACCCATTAAATCTGGGGGCTTATTAACCCCCAAGTCAGAGTTGAACAGGACCTGTTGATGATTGTCCGGTGCATAATTTGAAGATAATGCAAAGACTAAAGTATTGAATCTAAACTAATTAGTCAAACTAATTGACTCTACTACCTGTCTTCCCTGCCATATACTAAGATGTGTGATGTACATGTATATGTGAAGTTTGACTGTGATCGATCTAGGAATGTCAGAGAAAAACGCACATAGGTCAATTTCCTGAGATTTTGGACTTTTTCCAAAGGGTAACCTAGTAGAAATCTAATTGTTAAAAATATTAAACTTATCAACTTACACAAAGTATGGATTTCTTTCTGTGAATCATAAGTTGATTGTCCGAATGCTAGCAAACACTTCCTAGCCAATTTGAATGGTAGTTCATTTACACACGGCATTGGTGATGTAAGCGGACTATAACTTCGTATCACAAAACCATCCTAGAAAGTGAAAATAGCACATTGTAAGTCACCCATAACTTACTGCACACTGTATGGGCAGCATGGCTCTATGATGCCAAATGTGATAAGACAACATGTATATTATAAGGTAAGAAGTTCACCATTAGTTACTGTGCAGAAAACAAGATTAGTTGCAGGATGAGTTTACATGCATTTAAAATAAAATATCTTTTTGTTTCCTCACTGTGTGTGAAGATTTTATTGAGATTTCTTTCTCCAAATTTTCCACTTTTCAATGCCTTAATTTTATAACAATTGGTAATTTTGTATTATTTATCCATTTGATTCAACCATTTGCCATATGAAATTCAGATTGCATAAGGGGGAAAAAATATTTACTTTATAATCTGTCTAGTAACTACAGTATGCTGTTACTTAACACATTGAGTGTTGAATACCTTTTTTCCATTAATTTTGCTATGTCTATGATTCGTTCAGCAGGCAGAGTGTTAAAAAGAAACCGACAATGGATAAAGGATACTTACATCTTTGCCAGCTGATATTTCACCTATCGTATCACCATTTGTGAACATTACACAGCTATCACCGGATTCCCCTGGTAGTAATGTAATAAAGAAACCAGTCAAAACAATACTACATGTATACTTATCAGGGTTTAACAAGCACACAAGACAGAGTATCAAGTCTTGATTTGCACAGATTACTGTAAACCATCACTGCTAGAAATCTTTTGTAATTTGAGGTTGTTTGCAAGTCACCGAGATTCCCAGTCTCAAAGACCCTCTTGTGGTATGTTTACAAAATTGAGTGTTTGGACACACAATAAAAATGTTCTTGTGAAGGAAATTAATTGTCTCACAGTGTTCTAGCAAGAATTGTCCCAAAAATTGGGTGGGCGTACTTACAGAATAGGGTAAAAAAAGTGTATATGAAAACAAGCGTTATTTTCAATTTATTCCTTTAAAAAATATGTCTCTAGCGGAAGTACAGAATTGTAAAGTTTAATGTTAATAGCTGTTGCATTATAGGTACTACTATAGGTAACTCAAATGGACGATTGGACAAATAGCTCCACATTTTATACAAAGAAATGACTACAAGACTAGGGAAAGAAGAGCTGTATTTTATTATGTATTTTCCGTGACGCAAAAAATATATTTTCTAATGTTTTGCAGGTGGATAAATATTTATTTCACAATATCCTATGATTTCAACTGAAAATAGCATACCTGTAACTTCATATGGCCGTTCCTCTTCCAAAGTTTCAATATTAATGTTCATTAAAATTCTAGATCCTAAATACTGATAGAACAGTAAACCTTTGACAAAACTTAACCAGCCTTGATCAGCTGTGTGGAAGTCACTTCGTGATTTGTACACATGTCCCTATGAGATACAGATAAAGTGTTATGAAGACACAATGCTATGGCAACACAACTAACATGTATTGAAACGATTATATCATAATTCATGTGAACAGTATCCTGTCATTTATTCAAGCTTCATGTGAAGGTCAAGTACTCAATACACCTGTTTACCTGCATTTGAATTAACCACATAGAGACACAATGTACAACAATCTGATTAGTTACAAGCTTGGGTAGCTTTTAATATCCAGTAGCCGGCACAGAGAAGCCAATGTACACCCCTCAAAACTACATCACAAAAACTACATTCAAGACTCAAAAAAAAATTGTCAGTACACCAGTGACTGCATATTGAGAGCAACCAGAGCCGCCAGCTACATCAGACTTTAATGATACAATAATAGAACAGAAGTAGCAGCAGCTCTGGTGGCAGTGTTCATCTAAGAAATCAGAAAGCTAATGTTTTTTAACATACCTTTATAGTACTATTATATCCAGTGCCAACTTTAAAAAGACCCAGACTATTGTGAATGTAAAGATAACTGCCATCACTAGCTATGGCACCATAAGTGCCTTCTTGTTTCCCATCTATACAAGTAAAGAAATGAAATATGTGAAAATAATTAGCAAAAGCCAGTAATTTTTCATCAGGAAAATGATCAACTATTGAATTGCTGCAAATAAAATACCACACATACTCACACTAGAACAGTGAATTACTTTCTAATTATATTCACATATTGCCCAGTACATTTGATTGAAATGGCTAGGAGCCATGTTTGCTTGGCCGTTATTGAATGGCCTGGAAACTAATAACTGTACAACATAACATAGTAATAATCATTTCAACATGGTATGGATTAGAAAGTAACAATTTGGGCAAGTGATAGATGAGTGGATTGAACACTCGCCTTTGAAAGACAAGATTGCATACTTTTCATATTTAATCTCTGACAAAAGTAGAATACATTAGCAAGCACGAAAAAGTACCATCAAATACAATGTAGTCCTCTCGAAAGCAACACTAAATCATTGCTTTAAGCTATTAATGTTTTATTTAGCTGAGTTGTGCCTACATGTAAAGTGGAAATAACTTACCCACGCATATATCATTAAACATATAAGTCATATAGAGAAATATAAGTTCATGAACACAAAAAAACTACAACCAAATGTGTGCACTGCTAGAAAGCAAATTTATAACATCCCAGTAAGCTGATTTTTAGATTCATGTCATCTTTCTACTTGTGTTGAAACTTTAAAAATGCAATTAACCCAGTCCAGTGCATTGTCAAGTGTTGCTTATAATTAGTTTGTTTGTTGCCTTACAAAAATCCGAACCACAAAAAATATCAATTGATTGCACAAAAAAACCAATATTATATAATGTTGATGTACTGGTATATGTATTTCCACACATAACTGACATGTCGCCAGTTTCCCAGGTAATGTTAATACACGTGCATATATGGAGACAACAGCTGAAAACAGAATTTTTGAAAAGGAAAAATCGTACCTTAAAATGAGAATTGTTTAGCACAACTACTATACTACCAACTGTATGCAAGACACCTTATATGCACATGGGTCTGATTAGATTACAAGAGAATTGTACAAACATAAAAACAATCTTACCGGTGGGTACATGTGATATATTGAAAGAGTCCAGTAATGCTTTATTTGTAACTCCTGATGACAACCAAGTTGGATGAAGAGTTTTACCAAGAATGACAGACTGTACACTTTTCTGCAGAGCACCTAGCACTAATGGGATCTGAAATGAACATCAATTAATAATTTAAAAGTGTATAAACTAATTGGCATACTAAGAATAAATAATAAATTGTATTCTCAGTGAAATAACAGATTGAATACCAGTTATATCAATTTTCTTGTACTTTAATGTTCTACATATACAACCATGGTAATAACATTGTATGAATGTCACACAACTATAATAATGCACAAGATAAATGCCAGTATACACATATGTATTAAATCAGCCATAATGGCCTTATGTTTACCAAAGCAAAGTAATTGAATAAGTTGCAAAACCACCAAAAACATGAATATTCTAATTCACAAATTTAACAATTAATGGCAAAAATTAAACCAATCACCTTTTAGATTGTAGGCTTGTTCAACATGACAAATGCATTAACAGAAACTCCAGTATTTAAGCCTACGTGTTTTGTGATTAATAATGCATCAATTGGTTGATGTCTGGTTGATTTGTATATGAAGCAGAGAAACATCTTTCCTATTAAAGGCATTGTATTAAAACCTAACTGCAAGATAGTCTTCTATTGTCTGTGTTGTAAGCATTATGAATTTTCATTGAAATTTAAGTCTCTTGTAAGCATATTTAATGCAAGAAATGACATGGGCAGACTTTTGTGGAGACAAATAATCACATTTTTTTTTACTGTCCTTGATAACAAGACATACATACTTAACTACATTTGACAGTTCACATATAGAAGTCAATGTACACGATGTACACTTATCCCAACAAAACTGAGGTAACTTACTTTGATCGCTTGTAAGGCTGTATGTGTATTGCTCCTCAATAATGCAGTGATAGCAGTGAGCAGCTTTCCTGTGTCTCCTCTGGCTACAACTAAACTAAGTAAGGATGAACAACCAAGAGATGAGAGTGACTGATGACCATCGGGTACACTATTACCAGTATCACTGTCCGTTGTCAACTCCATTAGTAATTCAAATAAACAATCTGAAATGCAAGAAATCATCAATCAAAAATTAAGAATTTACAGACCGCTATAGTCAGGCATGAGAATATTGATGTAATAAATATCATATCGCTGAGAAATGTTCAGAGTCAAAGAAAAGCACACTATTTGAATTTTCTTTTTGTATTAAAATTTTACCAAAGATCCAAATTGTCTGAACCATATATTCAAATTTGACAAGGTCAGAAACAGTTGTAGATATGTGTGTGTGTATGTGCATGATGTACTGTCTTAGTTTCGAGTTTTACAGAAAAAGGTTGAATCATTGTTGCAGTTGAGAAAAAATAAAAACTTGAATGTGTCCCATAAAACACTTGAAGATTTCCCAGAACAGATTAGAAAGCAAATCCTTTATGAATAGATATCTTTATTCAGTGCTGGAACAGCAATACAGGCCATACACCCTGTACTACACTGCTCACGAAATTGAGACTAAAAGTACTGAACATGGCCAACATGTGACATAAGCAGATAACAGAAAAAAAGTACTAAAGTTCGGGCGCCAACACAGACGCATAAATTATCAACATATTCGTAACGAAGAATCACGTAACATGCAATAAATGCAAACAATTAAAATGGAAATAATCATTCAAACTCATCTCCACCAACTGTCAAAAAAATGGTCCTAATTAGTTCCCATTTTTTACTTTTGATGCAATACATCTGTTACTCATAAAAACAGTTGAACAAAGAGCTTATTTGACAACATAGTTACACAGAACTGTAACCTGATTCAAAACATTCCATATATCCTTGTCATAAATCAACCATCTAACTATGTGTCACTATACCTATAACTAGTGGTGGTTCCTTAGATAACCCTTCTGGTGTTTGACCTTGTAAGATATCTAACAACGACTGCAGAGCTCTTCCACATAGTACTGGATGTGTTGTCTTGGTTTCTCTGATCAATTCAAATACACCTGACATACCCATGCCTACAATCTAAACACAGCAATAAAAAAGTTAAATAAACATATATGAAATGTATGAAAACATTAAATATGTACATGTTTTTAATTTCTCAATTGACATGAATATGTCATCCATCCATCTCTTCAAAATATGCATTACCGATATGCATAATGCATTTATTGAACATCAAAAAGTAAAACAATTACAAATTATATATCTTGATATTATGGTATCCAACAATATAAGACAAGTCATGGTTGCTAAAGACATGTCATTTTTTTTTCTTGCATTGATACAGATAAATAAAGCTTAAGTAAAAATTAATATCATAAAATGTAATGTCTCTGCACATTTAGTGATAATGTGAACATCAAATGTACAAGAAATATTGCAATAAACAATGTGATACCTTGGGTACTTTCATGTGGGAATCCTTAAGTTTATCTGCTTCATCATCATCTTCGGAATCAGAATCATTTGTTTTTTCTGCTGTTGTTGATGTCAGGATTTTGACCCTATCCTTTAGATGTCTGTCCAACACAGAATGACGAATGCTTGCAAATACATTGAATGCAGACGGATTGCTTGGCAGTTCAATGTTAGGTATCTGATAGCTGGATGAATCCAAACTGGAGTCCTGTCAAATTAAAATACATGTTAAATACAGCATTTTATACATTAGTCATCTTTATTTATTGAGGTTAACAAACTAAATAAAGATTTGTATTCAGAGATTCCTCTTTGGACACTCATCCCTTTATATTCATACACGAGTAAACAACACTCATTTTGTACATAAAAAGAAAATTACAGCCTGGAATGACAGTTTTAACCCTTCCAACTACATGCATACATATGTAGAGGTCTTTTCTAGTAGTATGATAAAAAGAAAAGCGGGCTTGAAATGTGCGTAAAATGCCTTGTTTTAAAATGCACAACAGAAGTTCAAAGTCACAAACCTGTTTAATGGTTTGAATTTCACAGAGATCAATGAGACGATTGAACATACTGAACAGTTTTTATGAATCATTAACAGTTTCTGTTCGTTTTGTTTGGCCGTTATTGTTTTGAAAATGCTGACAAAACATTCTTTTCAGGATCTGCCATGTGGTTAATGCTTAGTAATGGGATATCCACCAGATGACACATGAGTGAGACTATACAGAGTCTGGCAAAACTGTTATGATGTTGATCAGCAAGAGGGAAAGTCTCACACAGAGAAACAAAGTCAGACAGAATAATTTAGTTTGTAAGCAAAGATTCAATTGCATTAACCGAACAATTAACAAATTCAAGCATAATGTAAACATTTGTGGTCTTTATTAATTTGCACACCCAATAAATGTATTCTATCAATTTGTAACATTTCAAAAAAGATTATAAAAAGTATCCTATTCACACTTCTTATGCATAACAGACAATGAACGCAAAGAAATCATTATTTATCAAATTAATTTTAAAAACATGTTGCAACACTTGTTAATGTGTTGCATCATCTCACCAAGTGATCACAGCCAGCGAGATACTACAACACATCCTACCAGTGACGATTTCAATTAAATGCTGATGAGATCAAATACATTTTTTTAATGTCACTCTTGGCCATAACTTGTCACACTGCCTTATTTTTTGCATACTGTATCCAAACCTCCATCGCCAAAGACATTTTGTGTGTTACAGTAACACCCATGCCATAAACCTGCCGAATGTTTCTAAAAACAAAACGACTCCTAATTGATCAAAAAGTACCCTTTTAATTCGCACACTTGAAAAAAATAATTTACATTTTTATTCTATTAATTTATGCACTTGAAAAAACAATTATTTTTATTAAGTGTATTATAATAGCTTTTACGATAAATAACGATGAGAAATCAGAAATTCACCAAAACATTCACACAAGTTGATTTTTTTGACTGATGAATATTAATTGCATGTTGCAATTGTTGCTATCCGCTGAGCTCAGCCAGTCAAAAAATGTGTAACGTTTATATAAACAACAGTGATATTAGATTTAATATTAAACATTATTATACCTCATGACCATTACAGCCAATCAGATTCGTGCAATACAGGTAGACATATTCCTGTGTCTAACTGCTAACATATTCGTATGTCTACATCTATCCGGGAACCTTCCGCTTGAATTTACCTTATTTATGCCAATAACTTGTCAAAAGAACATGATATGCGGCAATATTCATGAAATAATTAGTTTGCAAGGTTTGTATTCACTATTTGACTATCATTTTTGAGAAAAAACTAGAATTTTGTAACGATTTCCCTTGATTTTTTGGCACACTTGCACGAGTTTCGCCAGCACACTCAGCTACACACTTTGAGACATTTGATCTGCAAATGCACAGTTCATTTCTCTAAAAAATGTGAGAGTTGTGGACTTTGATTTTGCTACATACACTGTATTTTATTAGTATATTTACATATTATGTACAGTGTATTTGTTGAAAGAGGTTACCATGAGAATACCACAAGGTACATGTATGCGTGAAGACATCACAGCTATCATATCGACCAGTATTCTTGTGATATTCATAATGACTATGTTACACAATGTGGTACTTTTTGATATTTTGACACAGTTCACCAAATCACCTCTCATATAATGAGTCTTTACATGAACAATAACTGCATATGATTAATATGAACGCATCACAGCTATCATATCAACCAGTAATTTTGTGATATTCATAATGACTATGTTACACAATGTGGTACTTTTTGACATTTTGACACAGTTCACCAAATCACCTCTCATATAATGAGTCTTTACATGAACAATAACTGCATATGATTAATATGAACCCATCACAGCTATCATATCGACCAGTAATTTTGTGGTAACATTATTATTATCAATTTATATTCTGCTTGTAGCAACAATTTAATGAGAGATGTCCCAAATGAGAAAAAAAAATTGAAAGTTTGACAGAGTCAGAATAGGTTTTGGAACAAATGCACACAACTTTTTACAGAAAGATAAATTCTCTTGTTATTGTTGCTAGATGTATAATAATTACATTAATTACCCAGATCAAATGTGCAAATTTGTAAATACCAATGTTTACTCTCGAAATGAAGCCCTGGCTAAATTACTTCAACGCCACAACAGTTATAATGAATACATTTGTCACAATTTAGGTTTTTGTTTACTTATTTGTTTGTTATAGAACCTCTTCAAGAATAATTAATCAATGCGTACAAGATGCATGGTGTATCACTTGTGAATTATGCTATAACAGATACAATAACTAGCATTTAAATATTGCCCAGTAATGCAGAAAATATCATAATTTTCAGTCAGAAATATTACAATAGACTATGTTAAACAATGTGGTAATTTTTAAAATTTTGACACAGTTCACTAAATCACATGTCATATAATGAGTCTTTACATGAACAATGACTGAATATGATTAATATGAATGTGCAATTTGTTTTGTATGCATAATAGCATGCATACATGATGTATGTATGTATGCACCTACGGTACTTATCTACCTACCAGGAATACAAATTTCATAAAACATTTAGTGTAGCAAAAAGTCTAAAGGCATTTCAAATTTACTGTTAATCTAAAAAAATATTCATGCTTAGATGACATTTATAACAGAGCTCAAGTATAAAGAAACGTAAAGTGGTGAATCTATTGAGAAAACCGCTGAGACATATGGTATTAGTGTCATTATTTGTAGAATTTCTTTGTAAACTGAATTAATAAACTATCAAACTATTTGAATATTGGAGAAAATATAAATAAAAATGGGGGATTTAGATACTTCTATGTTATTGATCGACATCACTGGCTGGATGCACTTGATAACCATACTTGTAATTGTAATTACCCCGTATATGCCATACCACAGTTCAATTAAATTAAATTAATGATCATTTCGTTGAATTGACAACAACTTTCTTGGAAATGGGACACATGTATGTCAAACAATGTAATCATTTGGTTTCATTTTCATGTTAACTACACCAGTCAGACGGATCGAATCAGGCACATTGCACTACTACACGCACTATTAGTAGCACTGTCGCTACTGGATGAGAAACGCCCGAATCATTGATTGAAATTTAGATACACGTTTTCGACATATCAATGTTAATTGAACTGTTTCATTTTTTAGGAGAAAAAAAATATATTAAAATTGAAAATGATCCTCGCGCTGTAAATCATTTTGGGTACAATTATCGTGTGCGTTATTATGGGGATAACTATACTGATGCACTTACCCGGCTTTTTGATGCATTCTTCGATCCACCTTTCGTTTTGCTTCTTTTCGGGGACGATTTTCTGCAAATGGAAATAAAGAATCGTTCAGATGTCTGATTTTGAATGACTTGAAATTAAATAACTCTAAAAACAATATTGATGGGCATAACAAATCACAATTCATCTATTCAGTCTTACCTTTTTGGCTCTTCTTTCGTGACAAACATATCACTGAACTTGGATCCAAGCGAGGGTCCAAGAAGGAAGTGCTCGGGCTGCGTCAGCTGCAGTGTAGCAGGCATGTTTACAACCTAACGGCTCTCGAAGGTGCTACGATTTTTTCACCCACGCTAACTGTTGACGCCCTTTGCCGAATAATGTAGAAAACCGAATTTAAAACGAAAATATTTTTTTATAAATGCCGAGGAAACGAAGACAGTCAATCTCGGCGATTCGGCTCCTGCGCTGCAATAGCCGCCGCCATGTTGGATTATTGGCAAAAGAATGACGTAAGAAAAAACGGCATTCTGGGTAATTTGTGGAGTTTTTGTCAGGTGAGCAAAAAAAAATAGACATGACTCAAAAATTCGTAATCGATTGCATTTGACAGTTTATTAAAACAAACATTAATTAATGTTTTTAAGCTTTTCAATAAATGTAGTTAAACTGGTTCACGCAAACAATGGCGACCAAATTTAAACTAAGTATTTAAATATATACTTTGTTTTATCTAGTTGGAATTCCAATTATGCAGGCACGACAAGTACCAGGATACTGGTGATACAAGTGATTACACTAACCATGGAACTATAAACTATACTTCCATGCACTAACTTTCAACTTAAATAAACATAGTCTGTTTATTTATTTATTTATTTATTTATTTATTTATTTATTTATTTATTTATTTAATTTATTTATTTATTTATTTATTTATTTATTTATTTATTTATTTATTTATTTATTTATTTATTTATTTATTTATTTATTTATTTATTTATTTATTTATTTATTTATTTATTTATTTATTTATTTAATGGATACAAAACTGTCTACATGGAGATCAGCAGTATGACCACTAAATGTACATAACACGAACGAAATAAGGGTAAAAGTTACATATAAGATATAATATTATTAATAAAAAAGTAATTTCTGAATCATGTATCTGTGAAGCATTGTTACAGTTGTTGAAACTGGCAATATTTGTAAAATTTTGTTAATCGCTTTATTCATATCGTTTTATACA